GGGTGAAGCAGGCTTCCCGCCGAGCAGAGAGCCCGATCCCAGGACCCTGGGATCATGACCTGAGCCGAAGGCAGACGCTTAACGACTGAGCCACCCAGGCGCCCCCATAGGCTTCATTTTTAATGACTGAATAATATCCAGCAGTATGGACCTATCCTAATGTATCCAACATTCTCCAACTGCAGGACAATTAGGCTATTTATTAAGATAATGTTGCAAGGCACATTGTTATAGGCTATATTTTATATTATTTTCTTAAGACGGTTCATCAGAAGAGGGATGTCTAAGTCAAAGTGTATGCAAACGACTTCAAAGCTCCTGGTAAACACCGCAAGTTGCTTTCCAGAAATGCTCTTTTATTATTCACTTCCACTAGCAGAGCCTAAGCACCTGTCTTCCCACCCTCAGTGGTTGTTCTTACTAGTCTTTAGTAATGTGATGAACAAAAAATGTTAATTTGCCTTGCTAGCTGAGCTGGACTCTATTTTCTCCATGTTTTGATGAGCCATACCAGAGCCTGGACTTCAGCTTTCTGGAAGGTACAGTGGTAGCTGCCTCGTACCCACATCTGTCCAGGGCCGTGCTCAGGAATCATGTTTGGTTTTGTGCTGTGTGTCCAGAAGAGGGCCAGAGTGATCCACAGAGGCCTGGGTGCTCCTCAGGAACGCCGAGTGCCCTTATTACAGAGCCTGACACACAGTGAGCATTCAGCAAGCACTTATTCTTGCTCTTGTCTATACACTGTCTGATCTTCCACCCCTGTCTTTGTTACCGCTGGAGTGGCTCTGCCCTTCCCTTCTGCAGAGCTCCTGCTTTGGGTGTGCTTTCAGTTTGGAATGCTCTTCCCCACTGCCCTCCACCTGGGCCAGTCCCCCCTGCCTTTCAGTGCCTGCTCAGGACTGCCCTCCACCACACAGCCTCTGTGTTCTGAGTGACAGCACTCAGACGTTTGGATTCATCTGACAACCACTATGACGGGCCGTGGGACCCCTGTCGGCTGTTGGCTTGAGCTGGCACATCCTTCCTGCAATTTGACATGGTCAGAGAGCAGGCCCTGTGTCCATGGTGGATTGGATGCCTCCTCTGGGCAGGCCTCCATGCTCGTCTCTGCACATGTCCTTGAACACCTCAGGGTACTCCAGGCATTGTGTTGGTCAGGCTGGCTCTGCCCCAGTGGTTGCTGACCCAGCCTTGTCTTCCTGTCCGTAACTGATGCCCAGATAGTTTGGCATTACTATGCTATGGTCATGTTTAACCAAAGCCCCTGTAGTACCATCTCTCCCACGACTTGTGAATCACAGAAATAGAGTCATCACATGCAATTGCTGTGGAAGTCCAATTCAATGAATAAGAGAGGCACACCTGACTCATCCATTTATTTCAAGGACCGCTGAAGCTCATCTCTCCAGCAGACAGACTTCAGCCTTCATTTATGGAGGCGGGACAGGATCAGCCTGAATTTCTGTGTTACAGCTGCCTCCAGGGGGTCAGGAGCCCCTCTGGCCCAGAAGGTATGCCAGGAAGACACCTGTTTCTGTGAGCTGCTCAAACTCCACACTCACCCACACATTGCCCAGAGAATGAAAACTGGACCCACCTTGAGGCTGTAAGGAGAGAGAATGAGTCAGGCAGAGCAGGGGCTAGGTCCCTTCCCAGCTCTGAACGTAGCCTCTGTGAGACCCTGCTCGCATCTGGCACAGACGGCATCAGTCTCAGGACTGTGCCCAGCTGGTCAGCACATTTACTGGAACAGTGGTTCTTAAAGTGTGGTTCCTGGCCCTCCAGCAGCAGCACCTGAAAACTGGTTAGAAATGCAAAATCTTAGCCTGGGTCAGCAACTCTAGAAGCAGGGCCCAGCAACCTGGTCAAGCCCTCCATCTGATTCTGATGCACATTCAAATCTGCACATTGGATGTGATAAAAGAGGAAATGTGTACAAGCCTTCCAAGAGATAAAGTATGTCTACGCTGCCTAGTACGGGATGGGGCACACAGTAGCCGCTAAATACTTGAACAAACAGGTGCGTTCCCCGCTCACCCCTACTCATACAGACAGGACTGCTGGCACAGACCGAGGGATTTAGGGTGGGGTTAGAATGGAGAGGGAAGGAAAAATACTGGAAAGCTGGAATGAGCATCATTCTCTCTGAGAGTAAGAGAGAGAAAGGGAATAAAAATCTCAGGGGCACCAGTTTATCAGTGAAGGATTTTATGCTTCCAGCTTTTGGTAAAAGGAAATAGCCTTGAACAGCCAGGGCCGGCAAGCTGGTCCTGTCCTGCTGGTCCTCTACCCAGAATCCTGTCCAGTCCCTAAATGCATTTTGCACAAGCTGGCACCTACATTGTCTTTATGCCACCAGCCAGTCCAGCTCTCCCATCCTGCTGGAATCAACTCCATTCCTCTCCCACTGGAGCCCCCTCCTCATACCCGCCCACCCCCACCCCAGACTTCTGCAGACTCTTCCAGCCTGGCCCTGCATGCATCCTGGCCACGGAAGAAGCATTAGTTACAGGCTACGGCTCGTGTGGCATTTTATGAGTGACTTAGACATACAGAGGCACCTGGTGGAATGCCTCAGGCTAGACACTTGGTAGCCCCTCGACTCAGTTTCCCCATTTGTTAGGAAAAAAGATTACATCAGAAGTTTTCCAAAGTTTCCCCCCTGCCTTAAAGTTCCTGGCTTTCAGTTGTCCTGTCTCTATTTGTCACATGAATTAATCTACGAGACCCTACCCTTTCAGAGCATATAAACAGTCCGGAATCGGGCTCACTGGAAAGCCCCCACACAGCTTCCTCCAAACTGACACAGATGAAGTTGGGTGATCTCAGGGACCCATGCACGTCTAGGCTGTGTGCTGGAGCCTTTTGCTTTTATGACAATGTGATGCTGCTATTTGGCTTTTAAGAGGAAGAAAAAATTATTTCATACAAACATTTCTTTCTAAACCTTGCTTTACTATAAGGTCACTCAGTGCCGTTGGGAAAACCCTAATTGGCTGGTGGCGGAGGGGGATGGTCACTGTCTGGGAAGCTGGGGAGCAGCTCCAGCCATATAGGCCTTGAATCAGGCAGCCTTGGGTGTCAAAGCTGACATGGCCCACGGTCTTGGTAAGACATTGGTGGTGGCCATATTATTTACCTGTCCTGAGCTGTTTTTCTGTGGCACCAATTGGGTAGTTAAGTTGCAAGGTTGCTGCGAGCCTAAACAAGATGCCGTATCTAAACTGCATGGCGCTTTATAAAGGTCAGTGGTCACCGAAGACACCAGTTCCTTCCAGCACACTCCAAAGTCATCACCGCTGGGTAACATCCATCCTGGCACAACCGTGGAGCCCCTGCATGGCTGGACACAGGGGTGATCCTCCCAGCCCATCCCCCATCCTTGTAAACCAGAAATGAAGACTCTCAGAAGCCGTAGGATTTTGTGGTGACCCAGATCTCCCAGAAACTGCGAAGGCCAGAAAGAATAAGACAGAACTCTTATAGGACCACCCCAGCTTCATCAAGAAATGGAAGGGGAGCACTGTATGAGAAAAAAATGAGGGGGGCAAGGAAAAAGGAAGAATCTATATTGAGAAGAAAGGTATTGGGACCCTTATCAAGTCGCAATATTTTTATTCATTTTGCTATTAATTTATATCTTGTTATGTTCCAAAAAGGATTAGATGTGGCGAGCCAGACGCTCCATATGCAGATCAGTTTGAGACACCCCAGCATCCAGAGAACGGATCCTGTAGGCCCAGCCCAGTCCCTGCAGGAATAAGGCCGCGTGTGTGCTAAGGACCACCCCCTTGCCTCACCTGTGTCCGCCTGGGCGGGGCCGCTGTCCCCACACATGTCCCAGGATCAGCTGGAGCGCCTCGGAGGAGACACTGAGCAGACTCTGCTGGGCTCCGCTTGGTGCCCTGAGGACCCCCTCCCCACACCTACCTGTTCTGTATACTCCTTCCAGTGTCTGTTGTTCTGCCTCCGGCTGCAGCCACCACAGCCTTCTTCAGAGGCCACCTGGGCTTCTAGAGCTCCCATGAAGAGAGCCAGAGAACTGGGAGTTTCCATCTCCCCACCTGGGAGCAATCTGGAAAAGAGATCTGAATGTCCAGCTCCCTTGCTTCAAGGCTGGGTGAACCCTGAGCTATAATTAAGCTCCAGAGCTCCCCACAAGATCCAGGATCTGGGATGCCTGGCTTCTTGGCCTCCCGACCAGCTTTTCCCCTTGCCTGTTTTTCCTGGGAGCACTTCCTCATCTATCCCTTGCCCAGGCACGCTCGGCTCAGGAGCCTGACTTAAGATAGACATCATGGGCTTCTTTTCTCCTCCTAAGTTCCCTCTCAGAGGACTGCTCATGGCTTCTCAATCTCCTCCAAGTAAGACTTGGGGCTCTATCATTCTCTCAGGTCCCACCTGAAGGGCTGTTATACACCTGCCCCAAATCGGAGCCAGATTCTTCTTCAGAAATGCTGGTCGATCAGCTTCAGGCACTAGAGTTGATGCCTGCTTGGGGTGATGTCAGCTCGGGGGTAAGGGAACCATTTACGGGAAACTTTTTGGGGCTGGGGCTGCTGACAAGGAAGCAGAAGCCCCTGGACCTCAGGAGACACCCCTGACTGCTTCCCATTGAATCTCTTGCTTGAACTACCCCAAGTAAGAGGTCTCTACCCAGGGCACCACAGATGTTCCTTTAAATGTCCCAGACACCTTTCCATCGCTCAATGTCCCCTCTGAAGCTAAGGATGTGAAGAAGCTCTGTGAGACCACTGTGCCTGCCTGGGGCCCTCTCCTGCCTGGATGAGCCCAGGATGGCACCTACACAGCAAAGCGGGCGTGGGCCGGATGCTGGAAGGCATAGGACTAGCTGGTTTCTGGAGCTTAGGATAGAGACAGGTGTGAAGAGGCCTAGGGGGGCTCTGCTCCTAACGGAGGCCCAGCGGCCACCAAGACGTCATATTTGTAGGTGGGGCTCTATCCATATTTTGGAATGGTTGACATTCAGTTTTTCAAGATACCACTGTACCTTTAATTTATTAGCTTTCCATAAAAACACATAACATACACAATCTACAGGATAGAAAGTATAATTTACAAAAATATAAAAATCTTGGTTATTTTTTAGTATTCCAACATATTACTGCATGTGTTATTTCAATAAACATGTTTAAACAATGCACACTTAACCAGCCTGATTACCTCTGTGGGGAATGGTGTCCACTCCCTCCTCTTTGTTTTAAAATAAAATATATATTAAGAAAAAGAAACCACGATTGGTTATATGTGCATACTGTATGTGTGAAAGCTTTTGCAGCGGAGTTTCAAAGTTCATGCCATTATTTAGGTGCTGCGTTTCAGTATCAATATGTGGCCCAACGTGTTTTCAACGGACTGTTTAGACAGAGGTTCTTCCCTTGTGAAGAGAGCAGGTCCCCTCACATCTTCAGCCTTCTTTCCCAGTGATGAGAGGATGGGTCACAAAAGCCAACATGGTGGACCCGTTCGGCTTTCAGGTCTTCAGAGCAGAAGGGATGGACGATGAGCAGCCTTCAGGTGAGGGATAATTCCCGGATTCCTTCAGGAGATTCAGACTGGCGTGTAGGGGGCTAAGTCATCAGCAATGAGAGACCCCGGGATGGGCCCCGGGGGGACAGATCTTTCTGGGACCCGGCAAGGGTGCCTGTGAGCTCTGCTCGCATATGCAGCTGTACCCCTCACGAAGCCCTCATCCCAGAAGGCCCTGAGGATGCTGCCCTGCTGGGTGTGGAGCGGGACGGAGTTTCCTTCCATCCCAGAGTGGCTGGTCTTACCGGCAGGCACAGGTCTCCACAGACATGTTGGGGTACACCTTCAGAACCACGTTCCGGTTCTCATCCAGGAAGAGGACCCCAAGAGAGTTCATCTTGTCGGGAACACAACAAGGCTCTGGGATGCCCGGGACAATGCCCACAGCCCTGACGATGCTCTGGATGGTGGCGTGATTGGATGGGCGGACAATCTGCAAGACAAGAAAGGAGCACGGTCACCTAGGCGCTCTGCCCTCACCCACCCACTGTGCTACCTGCATGTCCTCGAGGAGGCCACAGAAAAGGTGTTGACCTAGGAGAAAAGGTGAGATTCCAGGGCTGGGCACACATTTCCTCTGAAGTCAGCCACAGACTGAGTCCCAGGGAGGTGTGCAAAAGCCTCAGGCCTTCCTGCCCTTTGGATCTCCCGGAGGGAAGTTACATCCCTACATGATTGGCCACTTGGGGGCACCTGTGCATCACTCATCCCCAAGGCGTCCCTGGACCTGGGCAGGAACTGTGCAGAGGGCGATGCCCAGTTGTTCTGCCCGGGCCACAGCTGCCCACATTTCCCAGTCCCGGGAGTTCCGACGCGCTTCCCGTGTGAACGTGTCCTTAGCACTGGAGGGCAAGGCCCACAGGTGTGTGTGCACCAGCATGATGGGGCTGGACTGCTCATTTCCCAGATGGGTCTGACTGTGGGGTGTCAGGGGCTGCTTCACCTCACCACCCCATCTTGTCATAGTATCAGTCGTATGGGGTGGGATTACCTTTATTTTACTGGTGAAGAAGTGGAGGCTTAAAATGTCTAAGTAACTGGACCAAGACCCCTCAGTTAGGAAGCAGCCCAAAGTCATGGCAAGTTGGAGACCATGCTCGCAGGGGCCGTGCGGGCTTTCTTTCCCTCCCCAGGCAGCCTTGCACACCCAGAGGAGTCAGGATCCCACCACAAACACAGAGAATGCTGTTCTCAAGCACCTCCAACAAGAGAAACAGGACCAAGCCACAGGAGTTACCCCTCATCGCGGGCCAAAGGAAGTTTTATATGTAGTGCGTTGCTGAGAAAGGCCCCTTGCATGGGGAGGTGGGGAGGACAGCAAGGTAGGGGCATCTGATTTGCGGGCTCAGCCCGCTGTCAAGGAAGGCGGCAGGCTGTCAGCCAGACTGGTAAGGTAAGCTCTGGGTCAGCCGGCTGGAGCCTGCTCACTGCTCATCCGGCATCTGCCCAGGCCTGTGCTAGGCTCTGCCGGCCCACACCTGTCACTCTGTCGGGCACCTCCCTTCCTCTCTCGCACATGCAAGAAAAGCCCCTTAATTCCCAAGCAGGTTAATGCTGCCCCAGGTCTGTGGCTGGGAAATCCCAGCCGACTGATTTATTTACATTCAAATTGGATTTATGCACAGACTCCCTTTCTTGAAGGGGAAAGAATGACCTGAAACTCAGCAGAGGAGCTAAGCAGGAGGGAAGCGTGTGCTCTGTGGGGAGGGCCGACCTCGCCTGGCAGCCAGCCCACCGCAGCCTGGCCTTGGGGAGATGGACAATCAGAGCCACAACCCAGCCCGCAGGGAAGGGGAGACTCTGCAAACCCCGGGGCCAGCACGGCGGATAGAACAGCTGCATGCTGTCTTTCCTGCAGACTCATGCACGGTGAGAGCTAGTCGCCCCGTGGATCCCTGTCCTGTGTGGGAGACAGGGGCGGGCGGGGGTGGGGAGGAGTCCCTAGGAAGCCACTGAGGCCAGCTCTGTACTGGTCACAGACCCCGGGGTCCTGAGGTCCAGACCAGGAATAGAAACGAGAGCCTCGGTGAGGAAGGGGCTTTAGAGGCCTGTCTTGCCTTCCGGGGGGCCGGGGGGGCAGCATGTAGTCCAGCTCTGTAAGGCAGCTGCTATGTGGGAACACACACCTAAGGAGATGGATTCTCCTACTCTGGTTTCTCTTCAGATCGCATAAATCTCCTGCTTTTCAAAAGAAGACATGTTCGGATTTAAAATTCAAACTCAGCTAAGTCAGCCCTTTCAAAAGCCCAGCCAAACCACGTCCATCTGTGGGCTGTATTCCCCTGACAGGCTGCCACTCTAGGACCTCTGCCTACTCATCCCCACCTTGAATAGATGGGAGGTGTTCTAATCCCCAGTTCACAGCCGGGAAATAGGTCACAAGGCAGAGGGACTTGCCAGTAGGGGCAGAGCTGGGACTCGCAGCCAGACAAGGGGCTGAACGCAGCGCTGCTGCTCAGCCAGCCTACCTTGGGCATGGGGAACTCGCACACCCCCGCACAGTAGTAGGCGTCGAAGGATTTGGGCAAGATGATCCATTCATTCCACCCGATGTCTGCGAAGTCCACCTTCAGATACCTGCGGGAGCAGACCCTTGGCTCGGCCCACTGCTTCCTCCGGGCTTTCTGCATCGTCTTCTCGTCAAAGTCCAGCACCCTTGAGGAGGCCGTGAACATATCTTGGCCCTTCTTCCTGCGGTCCTTGCGCCCTGGCCGTGGCTTCAGGGCCCGGAAGGGGCCAGGCCACAGTTCGTGTTTGTGGTAGTGCTGGGCGTGGGGGGCGTGCGCCGGCCTCTCGTCCAGACCTGGCAGCTCATTGTCCTGGAGGGGCCCGGTGGCCTGCGTGGCCCGGCGGACCCGGGGGTCTGCTGAGCTGTTGGGGGCTGCGCCAGGCTCCGGGTCTCCAGCCTGGAAGGGGTCATATCTCTGCAGCGTCACTGCCACACTATTGGGCTCTGAGATGGCCAGGTCATCAGCGTAGATGAGGATGTAAGGTGCGTGGGGGCTTGGCCTGGACACCCTTGGGGCCTTCTCCCCAGGATCCAGCTGGGCAGAGAGGAGCAGCTCGCCATCCTGGCGGGCTGCCTTGATGATGGGGGAGATGTCCTTGGCCTGCCACAGGCCCCGTGGCGGGGGCGCCAGGGCCATGGCCCCACGGAGCAGCCCCTGCGTGGCTGTGTTCTGCGAGAGACTGCGGAAGAGCAGGTGTTGGTGTGCGGGCAGGCCCGGGGGCAGGAGGCGGCAGGGTGCGTTCTTGGCCCGCTGCTTGCATGGCACCTCTCGTGCCCGGGGCCACCGAGGTTCTGAGTAGAAGTGGAATGTGGCCGAGAGGATCATTTCTGAATCCTGCATAGAAGTCAGGTTGAAGAAATACACAGCCTTCTGGTCGACCACTTCTGTGAGGGCAGGACAGACCACAACAGGTTAGGTTCTTTCTTAGATCGGTCCCGGTGCTCACAGGATCTCCCACTCAGGGTTGGGATGATGAATGCCCATTTAGGGAGCCCCTCCAGGCCAGCCAGGCTTTCCTCATCTTGGCTCATCCTCACAGTAAACTGAGGAGGGCCCCCTTACTTATCCTCAATGAACAGATGAGGAATTGAGGTCAGAGAGGCTGGGGATTGTCAATACCCCATTACAAAAAGGAAGAGGTAGCAGACGGGGAGGTGGGTACTCAGGCACCTCCCTGTGTCCTCTCCCTGCACTCCAGGGTCCTCAATGCACAAATGCACAAATACCACTGTACATCTCCATGGAGAAGATAAGGTAGAATCAGGCTTGGGGGATGCTTTGAGTCAGGCGCAAGCCCTGTGAGAACGCCCTCCTGTATGTACCCAGCCCTCTACTTCACAGATACTAAATGCAGTCGTTCTTCCAAACAAGGTGAACGAAGCAGAGCGCCCCTGACTCCCCTGTGTTCCGAGTGCCTTCTGAGGGAAACTGGACTTGAGGGCACAGCTGTCTGGGCATCAGCTACATGTTTTGCCCAAGGGCCTGCTCCCGCAGGTATCTCTTATAAAGCCTTGTTTGACAAAGGAAGAGCAATATCAGGGTTGCACAAGGCCACTCAACAAAATCTACAAAGACCAGGTTGCTCTCTAGAGGCCCAAATCATGAGAAGGACTGGCATTCCTCAATCAACCCATCTGCAGCTCGAGAATGCTCTGGCCCCTGCATTCCTGGGGCTGTCAAGCACCTCTTCCTTCTTGCCTGGCTCTACCAGGTGTATCCCAGGGCCACGGGGCCGAGCATCCTCATCTGTGGCCCTAGGAAGCTGCCCCGAGCCCAGGCAGCATGAGTTCTCTGAATGGCCAAGTCCTCCAGAGGGTCCGGGTGGGAGGGACGAGTTGTTCCCCAGGCCTCCCTGTGATACTGCAGGCTGGCGGGAGACCAGAGCTGCCAGGCTGGTTGCCTCCTTCCTACTGCTCCCCTTCCTGAGGCCAGGTGTCTGCATGCTGGTACAGACCGCTGGGCACAGTTGCCAGAGGCACAGAGCTCCGAAGCACAGCACTGTGCATGTGTGCAGGGACGCTGTGCCCAAAGGGCATGGGCCAGGCTCTTAGCTTCCCTGACACCTGGACCCACAGAGGCAGCTGGGATTTGTTTTTGTTTTTTTGTTTGTTTGTTTTTGTTTTGTTTTTGTTTTTTTAATCAAAATCTCCCTTTTAAGGATATTCCCTTCTATTGGGAAGAAGGCATAATGCGATTAGGAACTGTCATGTCCTCTCAAGGGACCATGAAAGAGAGCAAGGAAGGAAAAAGCATATCCACAGAGGGCCTGATGAATGTCAGGCAAGATTTAGATGACACTCTAAAGACCCTGCCTTATCTGACCCTCAGAGCAAACCCAAGGAGAAGAGCGGCAGCCCCTCAGCGTGTTCCACACATAAGGGATAGGGCAGGGCCCTGAAGGCCAGTTAAACTTGGCTTCTGCAGACACTGCAGCTTTTGGTGTCCTGGGCTCAAGAGCTGCATATCCCCAACTTCCTGCTCTCTGCCTTCCTCCCCTGCAGATGCTGATTCAGAGGGTCTGTGACAATGGGGCCAAGGGATCTGTTTCACCAGTATCCTAGAGGACTCTAAGCACCGGGCAAGTTTGTGTATCTAGGGTTGATGTGCGGATGGGGCGCAAGCTCACCAGCACTGCAGCCCCCCGTCCTCCAAGCTAGACAGGGCCCTAAGAACCAGGTCCCCAGGCCGCATCAGGACCACACTGAGCTCATCTGCCTCAGGCGGACAGTGAGGGTCTCTATTTCACATGATTGTTCGCAGGATTAAATAAATAGCATATGTAGTGTGCTGGGCACCAAGGAGGAGCCCCTAAATGTGGTTCCCTGCCACTTCCACCTAAAGGACCAAGGCTGGCAGAGCAAGCAAGCTCTTCCTACACCGACTCGGTATCCTTCCAGTGATCCAAATTATCTGAGTTGTAACCCAGCTAACAAGGCAGATAAAGTGTTTTTTTCTTTTATCCAATTGAAGTCCACCGTTCTTCTACAGATTCCTTGCTAGGAAATGCGCTAGGAGGCTCTAGGACAGACATTTCTGACACTTTCCAAAGAGTTGGCCCACTGCGGCAGGATGCAGGCATCTCTGGCCTAGGAACTTACAGCCTTTGGTGAGGAAGGACACAGCAGACTGGGGCAACAGAGATAGGCCTCCCCAGAGGAAAGGCACCTCAGCCTCCCTCCCAGTGATGAGCTAACGGACCAGAGGATCTCTGAAGAAGGACGACTGTGACCACCATGCCAGGGACAGCAGCCTGAGGCAGGTGTGGCCCAAGGAAGGCGCTGGGAGGCCTGCCCTCAAGGAGCAAGAAGTGCCTGAGAGGAGGACTGACCTTCCCTGAAGGTTATTCCTGCACAGGATGCAGGAGAGGGACAGCAAATATTGCTCCTCTTCAGACAGAGAACCACAGAGAGTGTGTTCTGAGACTGACGCCCAGCCTGATCAATCCCACTCAGGACAGGAGTCCTTCCTCTGTGTGGCTTCAACACCTTTAGCCATAGGGAGCTTGTCCCTCATGAGGCAGCCTGCTGCCTGAAGACCCTCTCTGGGGGAATTGTGGGGTGGTGATGGGCCACCCCCATCCCCAGCATGTGAAGGGCCACAGGGTAGCTCTGCTCTCTGTGTCTACATGCATGCAGTGCAGGGGGCTCCAGGCTGTGACGAGAGAAGGGGAACCTGCAGGAAGTCTCCCAGCTTGCATGAGCCCAGGCCTCAAGAGAGAAACCCCTAAGAGAAGTCCCTATTTCCTATTTCCCATGTCTCATGGTCAACAAGAAAAGATCCTCCCACCCTCCTTCCCTCCCCCCACCCTCCCTCCTGTCTTTTTCCTTTCTCTTTTTCTTCCTTCTCTCCCTGCCTCCCTCCCTTTCTCACTAAACATTAGGTAAACTCCTACTCTGGGCTCAGTGTTGTGCTGACTGGGGTCCTGGAAAAGGTGACCAGAGGGGCTCCGCCCAGGGATGAGACAGACGGGCCATCGTGATGACGCCCTTCTGCTGCCCTGTCACTGCTTTACAGAGCACTGTCCAAGTGAGGCCCAGGGGTGCTGGGTGCATTCACTCACAGGCCACTGCCCTGCTCACAGCTCTCCATTGCCCCGAAAGCAAAACGGAACCCCTTGCAGAGGCCCTGCTTGACCTGGCCTGCCTCCCTGCCCGCCCGCATCTCTGCCCCAGCCACCCTGGCTTCTGGTCCCTCCAACACGAAGCTTCCCCGCTCAGAGCTCTGCCTCCGCTGTCCCTTCTGTCGCTGCCCCTCCTCCTCCAGGCCCCGCCCCCTCCCCTTCGCTCTCTGCTCTCCGCTCAAAGGACATCTCAAATACAGGGCACCCTTGGCTCCTGTGGCCGGAAGAGAAACCCCGTCACTCTGTCCCCTGCTTCATTTGTCTTCGTGTCACTTCCCAACTTCCTGATCCGTATTTCTTTGTTATTATTTCTCTTCCCCCCGCTAGAACCCCAACTCCAAGGGAGTGGAGCTTTGGCAGCTCTGTGCACTGCTGCATCCCTAGATCCTAGCCCAAAGCCCGAGTGAGAGGTGGTGCCCGGAAGTAAGTGGTGAATGATGGGGGAAGCGTGGGGTCTTTGCTAGATCTGTCTGCTTCAGTTAACGAAGGGGGATCCCTGACCTGCTGCCCTCGGGCTCAGCAAACACATCCTGAAAGTCCAGAAAGCCTCATTCTTTGGGAAGATGAAGCTCATGATACACATCCAACTGGAGACACTGGGCAGCAGGATCTTTGTCCAGTTACTTCTGCTTGAGCCTCAGTTTCCTTGTCTTTAAAATGGGAATAATATCGTTTACCAGTGATGGAGGTCCAAGCCCCAAACATGTATGTGTGCTTGATTCCCCAAATTCACAAAGAGGAGAGCAGATGTGTCATTCATTCTCTGGGAGAAGATGGAGCTTCAGAAAGGGTATCTAACTTGCCTAAAGTCACCCAGCTGGTTAGGGGCAGGGCCAGGGCGTACACCCAGGGCTGTCTGACCCCAAGGCCATGCTCCCCTGTGTACTTGGATTAGAATGGTGATCTACCTAACAGCGAATGTCACAAAGACCATGTGCTGCGAAGCGCAAAACATTTTGCAAACACAAGTCATTACGTGGATGTTTTAGAGTTCTAACTCTCCGAGAAAGAAAGGACTAACTTTATTTAGATGAGCCATTCTTTCTTTGGATTTTTGGAAATCTCAGAATCCTAACTGGGTTCACTCTGTGGGCACTCAGCCTCCTTCTTGAGGGTAATGGGGATGGGACTGGGTGGGGGGGGGAGGGAAGAGGTGGCTCTAGCCCAAGGGTCCCTCCAGGCACCCTGCTGACCAACCTTCAGGCCAAGAGGACTCTCAGAACAGAACCTAAGCCACATGGAGATTTGTCCCTTCATCCACTGCCCTGGAAACAGCCATCAGGGGGACCAAAGATTGAACTAAAAGGACTAAAGCCCACACCAGAGTGGGGCTAAAGATTCAAGCACCAATGGAAGGTGGAGGAAGGGAGCCATGGGCCACCAGGGGTATTGCACAGAAGGGAAGAGAATGAATATGTATCAAGCGTCTATTTTCAGGCAGGTCCCAGAGGAAATCCTGCTTGCATCACTTACTAGCTGTGGAGCCTTAGGCAAATCATGGAGCCTCAGTTTCCACATCTGTAAGCTGCGCAGAGTTTTTTGTAGGCATTTCCTAAAGTTGTCGGATCATCTCTGCAGAGCTCACGCCATGGTGTCTGGTACCCAACACATGCTCAGAACATACTGGCCATGCGGTGTCACCAGCTACTACGACACTCAGGGCACCATGTCCTTGTCGCCTGTTCTCATACCCAGCGGGAGGCATCGGCACCTGTCCACCCCTCCAGCAGGAGCCAGAGGGTCCCACGGCCTCTCCCCTCCTGC